CCTCCTCCTGTCTTCCTGTCTTCTGCACACATATGTCCGGCAATTTCAATTACATTTCTTCACTTCAATCAAATCGCATTTCGCTTTGGCCTTTGGCCATCTCAGGCAGCCAAAAAAAAAAAAAAAATAAGAATCGTTTGTGCAGTACGCGTGTTGCACTTGCAGTCATTCGTGAATTGAATTTACAGTTCAGTCTTAGCCATCGAGTAATACTCCCCTGCTTCCCCCAAAAACAATTTCGTTTGATTTTTATTTTATTTAGCAATTTCTTATCGCCAACTACGAAAGTCGTGACTTTGGCGACAATTGTCCGAAATCGCTCTCGAATCCTTGGAGGTGTGGGGCTGTCGGTGTGAGTGAGTCCTGTCGGCCACGAAGGACACTTGAAATTATTGAAATTGTTTTGCCATTTGCCGCTGCCCTTCCGCATTCCCAAATTCCCAATCGAGCGTCGAGTGTCTGAATGCAATTGTCTGTCTGCTTATCATTGCCTTGGAATTTTCTCATTTTGAGTGATTCGAAGAATTTGTGTGGATTTTGGTTATTGATTTCCGAATGCCAAGGAGTCTGCTTTGCAGCACAAGGATCTTGCCTGCAAAATGGATTCAAGTGTGAGACTTTGAGCTTTTAATTAGTTGCTAATCGGTTTGAGGAGCTTTTAATCTACAAAGAGATTGAACAGAGGTCCGAAAATTAAGTACTTTAAAGTTCATTCATTGCCACTATTAATAATAAAAATTTAATGGTTTCTAAAACAATTAAGAATTCTCAATAATTTTGCTAAGCTTCCAATAATTCGTTATTGCTTTCAAAATAAAAAATTGAACTGAAGCTCTGTGACATGACAATAATGTTGATTTATATATTAGCCGTGTAAAATTAATAGCAAATTTTTCGGGCGACTGCCCATTAAACAATTCAATTTTCGGCTCTTCCACCTGACAAATTCACAGATATAACCATATGGGGATTGTGGCCGAAATCGCAGACAAAAACACACACACACGCTCGGTTTTTTTGTTGTATAATTCCTTTCGCCGGCGGTTAATTAAAAAAAGGGGCTTGGCCACGGGCTTTTTGGGAAGAGAGTCAGACGCCTACGTTGATTTATAGCAGTGCGTTTTAAAGTGTGTATAAATCAAATGGAATGGAGTGTACATATATATTAAATTAAATGTCATAGCGGAGCGCTGGCATAAGTTGACTTTGGCGGTGGCCCAACATGTCCGATTCGGTTCTGGCCAACTCTTTAGCGCCATTAACAAAGGACTCTACCCCACAACCCCCGCCTCTGTCGACCGTTCGATTCCGTTTGCCTTTTCATTTGCGTCGTCTTTGTTGACCACTCTTAATCCTTTGGCGGATCCTTCAGCAAAATGATGGGAAAGGGAAGAGAAGAGGAGCACTGCATTCTGCGATAAATTCGCATTAAATGAGTGAAGCTGGCGAGGAAAACTGGCGAGGAGTTAAGGACAGACCCACCGATTCACCGACCGATTCACTGGCCATGGCCACCAACAATGCGTCGAGTGCAATTCAGAAATTCTCTGCGCCTGGCACACAAACACAAAGATAGAAAAATCGAAGAATGTCAATAATGGCTGCTGCAGCTCCTTCCTCCAGGACATTTTCCTTCGACCTCCTTTTTCACCCATTTTGGCTTTAATGACGCTGCATCCTGTGACAACGAGCGTCACTTGGCCAGTTTGTTGTCTTTATTTTCGGTTGCACAGAAGGCGAGTTCAAAGGTCCCATCAAATCTTGACAGTGCTTAAAATGCATGGGCAAAGGGTATAGGAAAATACATTATATTTATTGTAATATAAAAGATAATTTATATTATTATAAATATGGAATTTAAAAAATGGTACAAATTGGTGATATCATTATAATTTTTCAAATAATTGAAGTGCATGCACTTAAAAAAATATAATTAATTATCTATCATGTTTTCTGTAAAAGGTATAAGAAATTAATCAACTAAAATTATAATTTTATTGACCCTTATTTTTTTATTATCTCGCTACAAATGTTTTTATCTGCTTCAAATAGTTTTCAACCCACTGTACAATTTCGGAAGAGGTCATTGATAAGACTCGCGCGCACCAGTGCAATTGACAACTTCAATGTGAACAATATTATTTGCATTTATTTCGTTCGAGTTTTCTTTTTTTCGGGAAAAAGGAGTGGGATCGCAAGGAGGGAGCGGCATGAGCATTACATTTCCCAATATATTGTTGTTCAACCCGTTTGCCTCACGAGCTTTTGAGTGGGGCTCCTTGCTCTGCGGCTTCCACAGACTTTGCTTGAGTATCGCATCGGTTTCGCGATTTTGTTGCATCGAAGTTGTGGTTTGGCGTCTTCTTTGGAGAGGCAACAGCTGCCGCATCGCGTTGCACTTTCTGCCCCACATTCCCCTCATCCCCCGCCTGCCATCTATTGTGGTTTATTTGACTTTTGTTGCATATTACGTAAGTCGGGGTTTCAATGCACTTTGCTAGCCGCGAACTACGCGATTCAATGGGTTTTAACTGTGCCACACACACCCGAGTTCTTGATTTGACTTCGCAGTATCTACACTTGAAAAAAGTGAGAGCAACTAAGCTAGAAACAAAGGTTCTTGATTTGAAAACTAAAACTTTAGCTTAGTTGAAACTATAATAATACCTCATTCAATCAATCAATTCAGTCAATAAAAACTAGTTAAACTACTCCTTATTCTTCTCCTTTAAAGAATGTAGAAATTCCTTTTTGTAATAATACCCACTTTATTTAGCAATTTTTTTCTTAGTGCTCTAGGCTACCGTGGCTTTGTGGCCACTGTGGGCGGTGTTCATTGTGGAGCATAGTAAATAAGTGCACCGCTCTGTTTGACACTTGCAGCTGTCAACGCGGCGCGTGATTGATCGAGCGATAGTAGTTGCCCCTCCAATCGGTTGAAAGGGGGATTGAAGGGGGAACTCCACGGAGAGAAATGATGTTGTCAAGGCGAGCTAATGGAGGAGTTTCCCCATTAACATGCCCCCTAACAAATGGTCCGATCTGTTGACTCAATCGCAGTTAGACAGTTTGATTGAACGCAGGAAAGCACAGGTGCATGTGAATGGTTTTCATGAACAAATATAGTTTGCAAAGTAAAAAATCAAAAGCTTGATAACACAACGCATTAGCGAGATTATCTGTAAACTCACTTAAACTCATTAGAAACTTTGTAACGATTGTGCTGCACAGGAGATCTAAAAACTTAAGCTCAAACTCTTACCAATTAAAACAAAATCATTGTAGTTTGAAGTTTGTTCGGAGAACAGCAAAACTTTCTTCCTCGGCGGCATTTGACAGAACCTATCTATCAGTAGATAAATACACGGCAATCGATAACGGGCAACAGATACAAATTATAAGCAGGAGCTCCTGGTCTCCTCTTTCCACAAATGGCCTCCTTTTTGCTCGACCAGAAAGTAAGGAGAGCAAAAATTAATGTAAATTTATTGACTCAATTTATAATGCAACAAATTGAGCAAAGTGAGCCGGCTAAGAGACTTTGGCGAAATATTAATGTTGACAGCAGCCAGGGAGCGAGTCCCAGTGGAAAGTATCTGTTAGATACGCGTTCGGACGCGGCATTGAACTTGAACTTATCTGCGATTGGAGTTTTTCAATTGTTTGCCAAAGTCATTGGGCGCAAAGTTGCTGCCATTTTGTCTCTCGCAAAGTTATTACAAAGTTTGCCATATAAGTTTGGCAGCCCTTTAAAGTTTCGCCAGCTTAACTCCAGTGTCATTTGGATAGATAACTTTGGACCCTTCGCTTCTGCATCGGTTCTGGGTTCTCGATTCACATCTCTCGATTCTCTGATCTAACTTCTCGACTAGACCAGCAAATTGAGTGCACACAGTCGCAGACGTTTGTCATTTGTCTGCCGTCATGTCAGTTGTCAAGTTTGATTTTCGACATTTGCCTCCCAGTTCCATTTAACTATATGTTGTACTTTTTGTGACTTTTAAATTGCGGCGACCGCTACGAAAAAGCCGGGGGAACATGTGAAATATGAAATATAGTTCTCGACGGCAATATACAAGGGACAAATTCGGGGAGCTTTTCGGAAGCATTGTTGACATTATTTTCCCAGATTGTGGGTATCTCGGCAAAGTGGTTAATCGTGTTGCCAGTGTGGAAATGCCATTTACAAGCAGGAAAAGTTTCTTCTTAGTTTACAAGAAATCAGAGCATTATCTTTTAGTTTCCCACGTTTTGTTGTAGAAGTAAGTCAAAGGAAAATAACATAAATTTCTTTAAATGTAATGAATTTTGTATGTGGTTTTAACACCTTGAAAAATCTTTCCATTGGGTCTTTGCTTGACATACATTATGTATTAAATATTATATGAATTCTAATATCCCATTAAATATCCCTTATCAAAAAAATCCAATAGAATTATTTCCATAAAGAAAATTACTTTTAAAAAGCACTTTGGTGGTTTAATACTAGAACGTTTTCCACTTTAAACGTTTTAAGATTACCCCAACCTTTGGGTTCTCTAATCCCAGCCGAGGGCATTTGGAAGTCGTGCTACCTGTCATCTTAGATCCTCCTGCTGGTGGTGACAAATGAGAAAGGGTGCTGAAGAGGGGCAGTTGATGTCTGAACACTTTATCTTAATGTCAATTTTTTGTTTCGTTCGGCTTTGGTTTGATTCGAAGGGTTTTTCTGGCCTGGTCGTGTGCGTGAAGCAGTTAAAAACGCCTGGGCAAATTAGCCATAAAAAACGCATTTGTTAAGCGGGGTGTTTGGGGAGCCTCATTTGAGAGTCATGTCAAAATCACGACACTGAAGGCGCCCGGCGATTAAAGCAGCTCGGGGATTTACATTTATATTAGGCAGCTCAAAGAGCTCCGCCAATGAATCATCGCTGTACTTAAATAGCTTTAAGTGTTGGCATTTTCCGTGCTTTGATTTTGATTTCCATTTCCCGCTCTTCTCCCCCGATTTCCCTCTCTAGTTTGACAACGTCAACTCGTGTCTGCATGTGCTGCGCAGTCAGTCGGTCGGCGGCTTGGAGAACATCACCACCAATGACATCTGTGCCGGTCGCCTGAAAGCCGTCCTCGCCCTTTTCTTCGCCTTGAGTCGCTTCAAGCAGCAGGCCAAGCAGACCAAGTCCATCGGAGTCGGTTGCGGCGGCGGCGGCGGGGGTGGGCTCCTCCTCGACTCTCACCGGCGGCTCGGTCCTCGGAATCGGAGTGGGCGGCGGCCTCAGGACCCCGGGATCCACGCTTCAGGACAAGAATCAGCAGGAGCAGCAGCAACAGCAGCAGACACCGCAACAATTGGCCCAGTCAGTGGAGAACGGCAATGAAATGGTGAACCGGTAAGTGATAAAAGCCTCAAAAGGGGGTAACAGGGGTCAAAGTTTCGACCACCTGGAAACTGAAAATTTTAAATGCAGCTCGTTTTGGAATTCGATTACAATCATTTAGAGATATGCCACTTTGAAATCGGAGAAAAATTGTCGAAGTTATGGATTCTGGTGGTCCCCATATGGGTCACTATCCTGCACTTCGTTGGAAACTTAGAAAAATCGGACATAAATAGGGTTCAAAATTTCGACCACGGGGAAAAGGAAAATTTTAAATCCAGTTCATTTTAGAATCCATTTATAATCTTTTGGATGTATGCCACTTTGAAGTTGGACTTAAATGGGTAAAGTTACGTTCCACTTTCTACAGCTGTAGAAAACTTTTTTTACATAGTATATGTAAAATGTGTTCCTTTGGGTAGCGCCCACTGTCGAAGGGGTCTTGGAGGTACGTAGCAACCAGCTTTTAATCGGCCGTGGCTTGCGTCTCCGCTGTGGATGGTCGTTTCCACTCTTATACTTTTAGTACGGACATTAACCTTAGGTTTCACTCTTGAAATTATTCTAAAGTTTACAGGTTCATTCTTATAAAATTAGAAGATGAAGTTGTTAGTAATGGTCGGTATTTAGATAATGTATTTATTTTATGGGAGCAGATTAAATTGTATTTTAATTGATAATTAATACCTTTTACACAAAGCTAATATTCCGAAGTTCGTGGTTGACGAAATCACCAACTATTAGAGTTCATTACTTACAAATTACACCAAATTTCATTGGAAATCCATCCCTGCCACCAGCAGTTATTTAAACTCAGCTGGCTCCATCCAAACTTTATTCCACCATTTTCTAACGCCCCATCGATTCCGAATTCCTCCCCTTAGTTTAACCAAAAGCATTGCATATCCGATGTCAGAGATTTCCTTTTGAATTTCGCTTAGACGTCATAAGACATCCGGTACGCATTTCTTTCTGCGCCTTCCGAGAATTCCAAGCCGGTTTAATATGATTTATTGGTTTGTTTGCCGGAAATTACAGGCAGTTGGGTCCTGGCTTGGCTTTTTTTTTTTTCGGGGGTTCCGCCTCACACTTTCAACAACAGATGTCATCGGAAAATGGGGGAAAAACTCCAGAAAGGCAAACAAAATTGGCGTGCTACAAGTTTAAAGAGAGGAGAATCTCAGCCAGGGGGAAAAACTCCGTAAAGTGCTCTCTGCGCAAAATTCAAAGCAAGAAGATGGCAAAATTAGAAAACTTTATTTGCCCAATGTCTGTTGGGAGGTCTTCGGTTTTGACTCCGCTTTTTGGGGTTTTCGCTTCAGAACGCCGTGTTTGCAACCCTCGGGGAAATCCTTCGGAGTTGCAGACAGGAAGCGGAAGCTTTTGTGTGGCGCCCCCATCTCCCCATTCCCCACTTCCCCCCTTCCCCACCACTTCCCCATCCTTCGAAACGGTCGTTTAACATGGGGCACGGGCCAATGTGTTGATGACTTTCACTGACTATGAAATTTAAATGCGTTACGGAAATGTTTTGCGTTCGCCTTCGCTGGAGCAGACAAATAAATTACAAAGGATTTTTATGGTCGTCCTTGCGCCTAGTTCGTGGTAGGCGACACCGAAAGGACACCCAGGGCAGCGGTTCATTTAAAGTTGCGCCATAAAACTTTCACTTGGGAGCCGGGCAGCCTAACCCTCCAGAGCGTTGTTTATACTGTCTGCGGTCTGTCGACCTACAGTGAAGCCTGGACGAGGGGCTGCCCCGCCAGCCACCCGGAACGGGGACAAAATAGCAACCCCAAAAACTCCAAAAAAGGTACACCTAAATGAAAGTTCTAGAAAGTCAGAAACTTTACAAACACCTTTGAGCAAACAAATATAATTTTATTTGGGTTTAATCTAACCAACATTCTTCATTTTATAAAGAACAAATAAAATATGTATATTACATGTTTTAATATATTCTATTCATTTAATAATTAGTTAAAATTTAAATCCCCAATTTGATAGATATTTTTCTTCTGTGTACCATTAGCGACATTCGTTGGCTGGAATTTTTCAAATGCAAAATTCAAAAGCATTTTAACAACGGCAGCAGCTACTGAATTTTTTTTTGTCCAGAGGTTGGGCGGTTTGCTTTGGGGAATTCCAATTTCATGCCACTTCACAGGTTCTCTATTTTTTTGAAAGCTCTGACTGTGATTTGCTGGGGACAACCTGCTGGTAAAAGCAACATGTTGCGCTGACGCACATAATTAAAAGCGAGCAGCTCTTGAATTTGTAGCCAGAATCGTCTTAAATATTCTGAAGATTTCAGCAACAGCTGATGACGATACAACCCCAAAGTGCAGGACTCCCACCATTTATAACTGCAAATTGCTTTGGCAGACATGCCAACAATATGTTGCCCCCGCCGAAATGTATTTATAGCAGTTGTAACCGAGCTTTCCTTCTGGAATTGGCTAGAAAGTAACCCCCGAAGACTTGGGAGCTCCTTTAATGGGGAGGAAATTCCCATGGATGTTGGAAACCCCCCTTGAATTCATCCCCCTTAAATCGTATAAATCCGCCCACGTGCGTATGTTCCTGTGGCTCTCTAATTCGCATGCATTTATGCGTGACCATGAACAAGGAGCCTTCGCAATCCCCCAGGACATCCTGTCCTGCCTGCTTCCTCGCTGCTCCAGCTAAACTGCACTCGGCCACTGGCAAATTGTCAAGTCCTTGTTGTCCTCAGCCTCGTCTGGCTTAACTTTTGTTGTCCTGCGGGCTTGGTTTTTTCCACATGGTCTGCTCCTCTGTCCTGAATTTATAATTCCATTTGTGGTTTTAATTTCGTAAATGTGAGATTAATTTTATTCAATTTGTGTGGCAGGAGTGCAAAGGGTGAGCACATCCTTGGCAACCGGAGTTTAGGTCTGGTGTTAGCGCTTCATTGACTGTCAATTGTTGGCAAACGAAGCGGAGCGAGAAGTTGGGAAAGGAGTTGTGGCCAATTCAATAAAGACATTCGCAGGTGGAGAAGTGGGTGTCCAGAACTTTCCACTTGATGGTAAAATGTGTTCAAAATAGGCATACAATTCAGAAAACACCTTTTGATATTTTAATTTAAATCAATATTAAAGAGTATATTTCTATTTAAGAAAAACACAATTCCTTTAGAATGTAAAAATGCATTTTAGAAATATTTCTTATTTAGCCTTTCCTTTCTTAATTCCCGATCATCCATCATATCCTCCAAGAACCTCTCCTCTTGTGGATCCAATCTGGTTATAAATATATCCCTTGTAGCCCTGAACTGTCCACAATTATATAGATGCTCATTCTCCAGGCGTAATAAATTCCAAAAGAAGCGTCGTAATATCTCGCAAAAACAAATTATTGTTTGGCCATTATGAGGAGTTATTAACCCCTGATAAACCAAAACCAATTCCAAGATCCAGGTAAATCGTAGGAGTGTATTTTCCACAATCACAAAGAAGTAGAACCACTGAAAAATATCTCATTTTTTTCTTGTTTCTTTGATGTAAATACAATTATATTTACCTTTGGATAAACTAGATTTTCGCGCAAAAACATTTTCTTGCCTTTCCAAACTCTAAACAAACCAAAATCCATTAGCACATCCCAAAATAGGGAGTAAATTGAAGAGACAATGCATATCGTTAAACAAGCCCAAGTCCAGGAATTTTCAAAAATATTATCGTACTTTGCTGCTAAGAAATAATACAACAAGTTATTTGCTTGATAAGGTTACCTAGCATTAACTTACAATTTGTTTTCATTTTGATTGTGTGAATGACTACTTCCGCAATGATCAGAAAGTACTTTAATGCATTGATCAAATAATCCGTTGACTTCGATCCACTGTCTCTAAATCGCCTAAAACTCTGGCAAAGTCGTATCCACGCAGGCAAACACCGAATGACAGGAACTACATAATCAGGCTCGAACTCAAAGGCATCAGTTCGACCCAAAAGATATTTCACATAAAATCGGCTAAGGTAATAGTGATCCACCAATGTGATTGTCAGCGAGGTCCACTGATCTGCCAGCCAGAAGTCCACGAAATTCACAAAGAACAACGGGGTCAAAAGGATTCTTCCTATAGTAGCCATTAACCAGATTCTCGAGGAATACATCAAAATGTGTATTGGGTTGAGGAAGAGGACAAGCACAATTACACACTGAGCCAGAGGAATATAATATGGTTCACTTATAGAGAAATCGTCATGAAGCAAATATAGCAAAATGCTCAAAGTGCACAAATATCCCAAGAAGCTGGTTACTTCCAAGGATCTTATTGCACCCATGGCATTTCTTCGCTCCACTTCGAATATCAAGACATGATCGATTCCCACTTTTTCGTAGATTTTTATATTAAGAGCCAACAAGCAGACAAAAGTCACGCTTGAAATGGGTCCTCTATAAAGTCGAGCAAATGTGTAACGAAATTCTGGGGTCTGGTTTAGGGTGAAATCTAGTATTGTAGTTGAAAAATTAAATCAAGAAATATGTTTTTTTTAATAAATAATAATATATACTTACATAAAATCAGACAAAATATTGCACCAACGAAAAAGAGACCCAAAAAGAGTCCTGCACAAAAAACGTGAATTGGTGCAGTTGGCTGACCCAAAGGCGGCACTCTCAACTTTGTCATCGCTGCTGATCGATCTCCATTGGCCAGATAAATAGTATATAGATCCTCTACTGTCACTATCATCCGATCCAGTTGAGTGTTACTGGCAAAAGGTGCTCTCTCTACAAAACGCTCATACCAATCAAATCCGGATTCTGACTTTAAATTCTTGTCGTACTTCTTGCAGATTTTGCGAAAAGCAGTTATGTTTAGTGTTTGGTAATGTTGCAGCATTATGAGGCTAAGTTGGGATAAAATTTAAAGCAATAAATAATTCTCCAACTTATTATTGAAGAAGGATATATGAAAAAATAATAAATAGTATAAGTACCTAAGGTAAAACTCGCTCATGGCAAGACGGAGTTTTTTGATCGACGGCATTTTGCGGTTATCCTCCGGCCGGCGAGCTCTTGAAGTTGTGGATTCCTTAGAAGTCAAAGATCCTGAATCCTGTTGATTACGTCGACGGGTCACAAGTGATAGCTGGAAATTCAGAGTGGCCAACTTGCGATGCCCCTCAGCCTGTTTGTGGGCAAAAAAGTCGTTTACTTTGGTCAGTTCCCTGTTGCAGGTTTGGAAAAAGAGTTTCTTGAAATCCGAGTAGTAAGCAATTAGAACAGCATTATTTGACTGACTTCCATCGGGTGCTCTTTCCACAGCGTTCTTTATCATGGCCTTCAGCTCCTTAAGAATGCAATAAAATTATAAATAAATTAATGGACGAAACATAAAGAATTTAAAGTTACATTGTAGTTCATGTACTGATACCGCCATTCGGGAACCATCAAAGTATCAAGCGTTTTGCCAAACTTCATTTTTGTAAGCTATTTTAATCCCTTTTTTTTTAATTCTGATTTTTTGACAATAAAAGCAAAAGTAAAGTAAGCCCTTAAAAAGCTATGATTTTGTTTACCATCCTTGGAATATTTTCGATTAGCTTCAAATATTATTATTAGTTTGCTCAATGCTTCCGCCCTTTTTATCTCCAGTTAAGCCGCAATTTTTTTGCGAACGCAACCGCCCTTGAAATCCCTAATTGTGGATTTTTCATCCCTTTTCGCAGAAACTCCCTTTTCCCCATCGATGCATCCTTCTTTCGGAAAAATTTGCCATTGTCCGCGGACAACCCACGCAAATTTTGACATGCGTTTCCCTTTCCTTTTCGTCAGGAGTTGACAATTTCGCTTTTGTTTCAGCGGACGATGTCCGCAGAACCGCAGCTCATCCTCCTTAAACTCGTCTGGCTTTTCATGTTCAAGCGGGCTTAAATATATTCCCGTTTTTCTCGAGTTTTCCGCCTTTTTTGAAGTGACTGCGTTCGGGTGTATTATTAAAAATGTAGAAAAATACCAGGAAAATGGGGTTGCTAAGGGTTGCTCTCAGATTCTACAACTCTTTAAGCTCGTTGAAGCTCCAATCGAGACCCACAATTCGATTTCAGTTGCTAGCCATTAGTCATAAGAAAAGGAAAATTGGGAAGCGGGAAAATGTCGACTACAGGCATCCCGATGATGAGTAGAAGTAGAAGTAGAAGTGGGTGGCCCAAAAAGGACTTCCATCTCACCTCAGTCGTCATCATCAAAGCCGGCATTCGTCTTCCCCTCTGCGCCGCCCTGTGAAAAATGTGAAACAATTGCAACGATGATTACTTTTTCCAACAGTTTTTCCCCTCCCACTGTTTTTGTTGTTGTTGTTGGTCGTAAAGGAAAATTGAATTGCCAATGGGCGGAGCATGAAGTTTGTCCTGCCCTCCGGGGACCTTTTCCCGGGGAGTTGGGCCGGAAAAATAAGACATGGACAGACCGAGATGAAAACAGGTGAACTCCATAATTATATGCTAAATACTGGGGTAATTAACTCCCACGGGAGCATTAACTATTTGAAGTACTTGATTAAGCTGATGACTAAGGCTTAAGAATTATTCCGAATGATGATGAAAAACTAGCCCGGTGAAAAGTGCCAGCGAGTGCAAAATATAGAACCCAGTCTCCTTTAAAAAGGAAAAATGAGATGCTGTCAGCTGTGTTTGCTGTATTTATGATACCCCTCAATCAAAGGGCATTTTGGTTTTTAATAAGTGTTTATTAAAAATTTAAAATATATTTTATAAAGGATTGGATAAAACAATCAGATAAAAATCTTTATAAAATTGAAATGCCACAAGTTAAAATAGTTTTCTTTTTTTTTTAAAGTTTGTCTTATAGAAAACCTAGTTTAACTTTGAATGGGTGAAATTTTTTGATGCTCCTCGGACATGCAAACTTTTTCTATCAGATTTTTTGCGGCTTGTCCTAGCTGGACAGCCATAACCAGAAGGCAAATAAAAATATTTGCATAGACGCAGCGTTCAACAATTGGATAGACGGGCAAGTGAGCAACGGGGGGAGGTGGGGGGTGGCAATAAGGGGGCGGAATCCGGGGACAGACTATATAAAATGAAAAGTAAACATTGCAGTGTCCGCCGTTTGCCATTGAAATGATAAAGTGCCCGGCTGAGCTGAGCTGCCTTCTCCGCCCGGAATGTTCCACCGGAGTCCGACAAAAGGCAATAAAATGCATGCTTAGTGTTTTTTGGAGCAGGGGCTTAATGGCATTAGAAGGGGGAGGAGAGGGAGGGGTTTTCCAGTGCCTTGTGGAGCAGTCAGTCTGGAGCTACATCTGGTTTTATCCGTGTGTTGTGTGTGGCAACTCGGGCGAGAGGCTTTCATGCTTTTTGGATTTGTCCAAACAAAGATTTATTGGGTCTAGTTTTGGTTTTTTTTTTTTATTTCGGGGGAGAAGGGGTGAGTTGTTTTTTAAAACTGATTGTAGTTGTAACAAGTTTAGGGGAGAAAGTTGAGATAGAGTTAAAGGAACTTTGGTAAAAGTGAAGGTTAGATAAAAGAACTTTTGGAGAAAGTTCCTTAACTTAAAATTCACAAAATACAGTTTTTCATATAAACATTACATTCTAGTTAAATGCTTTTATTCTTCCAAAAAAAAGTATATCCCTTATCTTCGATTCAATTAACACTCTCCATCTAAATCACACAACCGTATTTACCTCAATTTATTCCTGACACTTACATGAACTTGAATGGCTTTCCAAGACAATATCTCGACAATAAATTCAATTTGAAAATCAGCTTTGGCCCGAAACCAGTCAGCTCAAGAGCTTGCACTTTTTTTCAGCTGTCTGCAACAACTTAATCGCAGGCTGCAACTTTCTTCGCCGCCCACTTCTAGTGAACACACCTAAACCCAGCTTCAATTATAGTTACAAACGCCGAGCACTTTCAATCCGAAACTCGTTTGGCGTTCAATCATTGCGATTTCGGGGCTACATCGCACATGCCAGTAATTGCAATCATATTTCGACACGCTGTCCAGCGTGCATTGGCCATAAACTTCAAGCCTACCACAAAAAAAAGGTTGAAAAAAGTGTCAATTTTTCTTGAACGAGGTAAAAACGAAGATTGTATGCTCTGCATAATAAACAGTAAAAATAAAATTTCTTTAGATTTAAGAAAAGTAAGATAAAAGAAGAGGTTTCGCAGCATACTAATTATACATTATGTTGTCTGTAAATTATAGCACAAAATATAATCAGTTTAAAGAGATTTTCTTATAGTTTTAGAATTAGTTTGTTATATTTTTTCCCATCAGTTAGGGTAAACAAGAAACCCACTAAAAGAAGGCGTCGTAAATTAGAGCGAACAAGTTGAGTGTGTGCCTGATCGGCTTAGTGTCAAACGAGTTTCCCGATTGAAATTAAGCTCAATGATTAAACAATTTTACTTTCTGCGAGGCCCCTCTGGCTGCGATTCCTGCGACAGTTTATGTGACACGATACTATTTGCTATAATTGCTTACTTTGTTAAATTGCGGCGATTTGTTTGCCAGCTAACAATAACTTGGAGCTTAATTGGTCTCGTTCGCCACTCGGTTGACCCCCAGCAGCTGGGGCATGTGCATTGAACTTCGGAGTGGCCCCCTCTGCACATTTCCTCCTCCTCCGCAGAAGTGCAAGTGCCAAGTATTTTTAGACCAGCCAAATGCAGCAAACCAACAAGCAAACAAGACAAACGTCTCCACTCATTCAGTGCACTATGGTAAATAAGATTTGAAAACCAAAACCAAATATGTACAACATTATATGATTGGCAGAGTTTATAATATATAAATAACTTTTTCTTGACTTATTAAATTTTGTTTAGAAAAAATACTTTCTAAAAAATATAGGCAAATATAAAATTTTAACTACTCATAGTCATTATTTTTTTTCGGTGTAGCAATCCAACCAATTTCAGATCGAACTTCGAACATGTTGCCATGTAAAGTTGTAAGTTGCTGGCTGGCTGGCAAACATCCTTTCAAATTTTATAATTTTAAAGAATGTGCAAAATATACAATTTTTAAAATTTATAAAATAAAACTTTATTAAGAATTATTGCCTTCCTAGAAAATAAAAATAGGTGATATAATTTCGTCAAAATTCAAAATACGTTTGAAAACGGAATAGTTCTAATCAAAAAATATAAATGTAAAAATAATGACCCTTGTTCAGCTGTGGTGATATAAAAGGACAAAATATTGTGAGGGTTGATAAAATATTGTTGGGCCAGTATGTTTGAAACACGTTCGTGTGTTTTCCACCCGACTAGAAGGAAAACCCCCGGCAAAACTGCTAACGAACTGACAGACCCGATGAGACTACATTATATCTATACTACCAAAACCCCGGCAAAAGCGAGTTTTTCGAAGCATCCACAAACAGTTCGCTTTGGTCGCTCGATTTTGTTGCCTCGAGACGGAAGTTTCGCGTGCGGGTTTTTGGATTGTTTTGTTTTGTTTCGCCGGTTTTTAAACGACGCGTGCCACTCGCAAGAATAAATGGCGGCAAATCAAAGAGTGTGTGAATAAAATTTATAAACGACCAGCATTGTTCAGAAGTGCCAAATTGAAGCAAATGTGCAAAGTGATATATCTTCGGTGGATTTACTTGGAATTTTAAAAAGTATTTGCATTAAGTTGGTCGAATAAAATTTCAACAGGCTGTTGCATACTTTATGGCTTTTAAGTCCCACCATCAGCATTATCCTGATTCCTTTAGCACCCTCCATAATTAACGCCTTATCGCGTCGCACACAAATTAAAAGGCTTAAGGGACAGACAATGACCAAGCAAAAACAAACCAAACATTATCCAAAAATTGCCAGTCCAGACGGTTTTGTCTCCACGGACCGGCGCTCAAAATGTTTTATATATCCTAGATAAGGGACATGCGTTATTTAAATCAGGGGAAAAGTTTTTTGATGTGGCTGGAGCTCTGGGAATAAAAAGTTATACGTATTAAAAAACGGAAAAATACACCTTTAATAATGTTAATGAGACTGTGTTAAACCCGACTAATTAACACTATCATCGTGTGAAATATAAAACTAAAGCTTATGGTATTCCACTAAAAGCAACAAATAAATTAGAACTAAGAAGTGCCTTGTTTACTGAACATTCTTTGATCTCAATTACTATTTTTCCAATGAGATATTGTAATGCAACCCGTAACAATTCCATACCTTTAGTTATTATCATAGTTTAAAAGCTTTCATAAACGTGTTTGTTAGGGTTAGATTTCTGAGTAGGAAATTCAAACCCATTTTTAACCACGAAATCGTTTAGAAAAGGGCACATTTTATCCGCGTTCTTATCAGTCAATTTCACCCTAATTTACCGCCTTTCCATTTGGCTGCCTCCAAAGTTGTCAGGCTGCTCAAAGAAAATGGGAGTTGGCTATAATTTAGAACCCAACGGTAATTAGTGGCAGACAAAAGATAGAGAGCCAAACCGAAACCGAAATTGGGATCTCAAGGGGTGCTAATCTTCATTGTCATCGGATGGGATCACAGATGCTGCAGAAGTTGCAGGCCCAAAGTCTAATGACTGACTGGTTGTTAACCGGTTTCTTTTTCGGGGCTTACGACGCGTGTCTTCAATTAATCACCGGCTCGAATCGGTTGGCTCTTCAGAAAGAGCTTCTTGAACCATGTTTTCCTCCACTTCTCTCCCCTCTAATTCAATTTTATTCAAGTGGCAGCAGCTGGGAGCGAAAGGATTATGCTTTCGCGTATAAGGAGATGTGTTGCCATATTTGGGTATTCAGCTAATTATGGTTGCCAAGAGTTGGGCAAACACAGTCAGCCAAAGATGCTCTAAACGAGGCAGCAAAGTCGGGGATTTTCAATTTTCCAGCGCTTCTGTTCTGTCTTTGACATCTGACAAACTGACAATCTGACAAGCGGGTAACAGGAGCTGTCAAAATCCTTCTGTGGGGGAGCATTGAACTCGGCGATTGCCATGAGCAACCCTCGCAGAAGCCGAATCGAAATCAAAATCCAAATCACAATCGAGTCCAAAGCACCGCCAGAAATTCGAGATATCACAAGGCAAGCTGTCAAATTACCAAACGAGTAAAATCAATTGTGGAAGCCCGAGGAGCTCTCCACTCCTTTCGAACCCAAAACATTGGCTAATGATAGGGGCACAATAACTCGGGGCCAAGCGTGTGAATTACTCGAGGTAGCTGACAGTTGAGGGAGAAGATTGTACTATTAGCTGATGGCAGCGTTACGCTAATGATTTAATTATGGTAATGATAATGGCCGCGGGGAGATTGCGAAGCAGCGGGTTAAACTGATGACAATTATGCGAGTTTCTATG